CCAAGCAATTGCGAGTGAGAGTTTCAAGACCAAGAGGCATGTTGGCTCCCAGTGTTTGGGAGCTAATCTGCCTCTTTAAACTCAATGGAGAGAGGTTCCCTCTTTATGGGCAGCCCCCCAGGAGTGGCGGCAGGCACAGCTGCCTGCTCCAAATGCTCCACGTCGCGCTCTTGCCACTCTCTTCACAAGTGCTGGTGTATTTTGGTTCAAAGGCAAGGGATCAGATCTACTTATGTTGACTGCTGCACCTCTGGAGACGTGTACTGTTAGTCCTGACAGCTAGGGATTTGTTTCTCGTGTTTTGGCTTTGGCTTGGCTGGGTCTTAACAGAGGAAGAAAAGGACTTTCCCATTTGGGAAACTCCCTAAGACATTGCTGAGGAAGTAGTGCAATATTCTAGTTACTTGTCAAGCTGCCTTCAAAAAAAAATCCCATTTCATCCCTTCTGAGAGGGTACTCTTTCACTAGGACGGTCATTCCGTGCCACAACCTCCGCTTTCGTATTAATTTTTTCAGCTCCTCAGTTTCCTCCTGAATCCTCCTTTCCAACCAGCAGTCGCTTCGGTTGCTCTCTGACTCTCCTGCTCCATGGCAGCTGCCTGCCCAAAGCAAAGGCAGCCTTACCGAGTCACGCAGGGAAGGAGGTTCCTACAGCCCGCGCTACGTTTTACTGGTCTGAACCACCGTGGCTTCGTGTCGCGCTTACTGTCACTTTCAGCCCTACGGTTTTCTCTGTCTCTCTGTAGCATAATTTTTTCCTTTAGCTGCTGGCTTGTATTAAGTCAAATACAATTAGGTATCTATTTCAACTGTCTAATTGTCTATGGCTTTTTTCCCTCCCTTACTGTCCAGAAAAATATCAAATTACAGTTTCTCTCTGTCCTCTACATCAGGATATGGGAGGTGGATTACAAACAAAAAGCATTCACTCCCTTGTCAATGTTTGTGACTAATCGCTAAGCCCAACTGCTGTTACACACTGACACCTCTCCAATGCCTGTATCAAATGCCTCACTAAAAGCCAGATGATCTGTCTTTAGAATCTCCTCAAATTATTTGAAACCATCAACAAAATAAGTACCTGTGCTTGCTAAGATATGTTCTTTCCCCAGTCTGCTAGCACATCGCCGCTGCTCTATCACTTATCTAAATAATTATTGCAACTATAGCAAGTCCATTAGCTGATTCCCTTAGTGACCAGTATGGCAAATTATCTGGACTCCCACTGTGCTGCAGTAAGCTCACATTTCACAAATATTTTTTTACTTGCCTTTTATCAGTAACTGCATTACATTCTCATTGATTTTTTTCAACTGTCCCTCATTTCAAGTATTTTTAAATAGATTTCTGCCATTTCAGAGTTATCAGTCTCACTTCAGTGCTCCTGTATTAATTGGCCTTTTTGTATTCCTTTCCCCCCAGACATGTTTGTGAAAGCTCTTCTGTCCTTATCCTTCTGGCTGTATGTTAATTTATTGTTGTTGATGCCCTTAGCTTTATTCTCTGAGGCTTAAATCTAGTCAGTTGATTATCTGCAGTCCATCTCTCTCACTCAGTGTAAGGCTACTCGCCGCTTTCTGCTGCACATAGTGAAACCACTGAGCACACAGCTACTATGGTGCTCCACTTTTAAGACAAAATTGTAATGCTTTCTGAGGCTTGCCTCTTTTTTTTTCCTCTTTTTTTTTTTTCTCTTCTCTGCTAGTAGCTCATGTTTTGCCATCTCCCAGTGCTGGTAGTATCACCTGGAGGAACAAGGGCTGAGAAAATTCCATTTGCTGGGTTGCTTCCTCTCCGGGGGCAGCGGAGGGCTTCTCTCCTGTATGCAGGGCAGTCTCGAGTGCTGCTGTCCGAGGATTAATCCCCGATCTCTTGGAAACCAAAACTTCAAATCATTCTTCAAATTAGTTGTTTGTACCACACCGCAGGAATTTCAGTGACTCATAAATCCTGTTATTTCAAAGTAAGGGAAGTACTTGAAAATATCACGTGGAGCTTGAATGTTCCAGCCTATTTCACAGAACAAGTTCTTTTACTAATCAGGACATGTTACAGCTCTTTGCTTGGACGTTCACTGCATGATTCCTGTTCTAAAATGAGGTGCAGTGAGTGAGTTCTGTGAGTTTGTGGCCACCCTGTATGTGTTTTTATGTGCCAGGCCACAATATTATGAATTTCTGGAGAGCAGCCATATACCAAACAAAAAAGCAGTTGCAAAAAGGAAAAGTTAAGACAACGAAAGGGTTGTAGCTAAAAGGAAGATATTATTTAGCCACCTTTGTACTTCCAACCAACTTTGATATCAAGTATACCAAAAGCAGAACAGGAAAAAAAAAATTCAGTGCAAATGTTGGGAAAGATTGATCTACTGACAAATTTTGCTTATTTTCTGCAGTTTAGTGAGCCCACAGAGCAATGCTATTTCCTTCTATCCTAGCCTGTCCTTCTCTTTCCTTCTGCAGCCAAGTACCTAGCTTGCCTTTTGCTAGCTAAGTCGTATCACACTGCTCTCTGCTATCTTTTCAGATGCTCAGAAGCCCATTTGGGATAAAACTTCAAGTCATAATATCTCTAATAGTGATTTTCTTTTTTTAATTGAGGATGAGGAGATGATTTGAAAAAAATGCATTTTGTCAAAAATTGATCAAACAAATTTTTATTTATTGTCATTTAAATTAGGAATACTTCCCTTAACCAAGGTGACCTAAAGATTCAAATTCCCTTCTGCCCTTAGATTGCTCTAGTCTAGAATGGCACTTGATAACATCTAGCCAACGTTCTTTTGGGTATGTATGCTAGATTATTCAGATTTTTCATGGCTTCACAATTTCTTTTTAAAGCAAAAGCACTTCTGCTTAAAGCACTTATGTATTTCAGAGCCTTGAAAGCTCCTAGTGCAGCTTAGCAGCAGCAGCCTGCTGAGATACTCTAAGAAAGAGTAAAAGTTTTAGCCCATCACTTAGAGCTTAAAGCAGCTTGCTTTTGAGCTTGCTGTAGTGCAGCAGCACTGAGGTACAGAAGCTCAAAAATCCTGGACTAGCCTTGTGTATAAAGAGACTTCAACTTAGTTAAGAGAGCTTTGGCATTCATCAGAGGTAGCCTATCCTTAACTGGGACTTCAAATGGTCCTCTCATTTTTTTGTTAGTCATTTAAGAGGATGAGCATTAGGAAAAAATTACTATTACTAATTCAAGTGTAAGACAGAACCATCCACAGTCCTCTAAAACATGCCATGGGGTCCTTAAGGTTATCCGTAAGACTTAATTCTGTACCTTTACCCCAAAATATACTTGTTATGCTAGAATGCTGCTTTAATACAAATAATAAAGATAGGAACATCAAAAAAACCCTTGCAGCTTTCTGATGCAACTGGGTTTGAGAACCTCTAAGGCTTCACAAATGAAATATGGGAAAGGGTATAGCATGTAACAGAATGAGGTCAGGCAGTTATTGCATTCATTTGACAAGCCCCAAAACGCTTGTTTGCTTGTTACTAAATACTAGATTTTTACAAAAGTGAATTTAACGACTTTTGTAAAAATGGAAGTTTTTTGCAACTACAGCAGCGTAACAGGTTTTGGTATGTTCCTCAGTTCCTGTATCAGAGTGACTGGCATAAACTGAGTGTGCCCCAATGTGTCTTAATTTGTACTTAATTACTACTGCTCTGGATACCCCACTTGGAAAAACACATTTCATATGAATTACATGGAACTCTGGGTCAATGTATCAGTATTTTGTTTGTGAGTTGCAGGAAGCTTGCACTGGGGGTCATTAACAGCAATAACAAAAAGCAGATGCCCTATTTGATCTACGAAACAATCACCAGAAAAATCCATATAAGCAACCCAGTACTTGGGAACTTTAAAATTTATACCCATGTTCCATGTGTGAAACATTAAATTCATTCACAGTTTTAGCAAGCCATCTTCTAGTATGCTATGGACCTTTGGTAGGAAACACAGCTTTAGTGGCTTTAGTGAAGTGTTAAGTAGGACCATGGGTCCATTGCAGGAACTGAAATGTAATCTTCAAGTGTTAAAGAAACAATCAATTTATTTATGTATATCATGGACTCAACTTTTGCTTTCCATTTAAATATGAAGTTTGTTTTTTAATTTTAAACCATTAATGGGAGGGCCTGGTCAAGAACAAACATTCTCTTCACCTGAAGATTTCTGACCCCTGCATTATAGCATCTTGGCAACATATATAATATCATCAATTCAGAAAAGGTATTGCTAATATATGCACCCATCCAAGTTTTGAAAACCAGACAACAAAATTCCATCAATTCACACAAATGTAGTAAGCAGTTTTGCAATTGCTTGCAAAGTTTTATCTAAGAGGTGTCAAAATAGCAAACCACAAGCTCCTTATTCATGATGAATGCTTTCAAGGCTGTCCTCCCCCAACTGTATTACATTAACGCACACAATATAACCTCAAGCAGAACAACTAACAAAAGCTGAATTGCATCAACTGGGAGAGGTAACCGACTCCCAGGTGACAGAAGCTAGGCACAGACCACACTGGAGCCCTCCATCTCCAAACACAATCGTCAAAGGCTGCACGAGCCCTTTAAGTAAGGGGCAAAAGACAAGGTGGTCCAACAACACGCAGTCTTGTACTGCAACCATTTCTTTCTAGCATTCTGTCCACAGTAGGCTGGGAATACCTCACCAAAGCACTCTTACTTTTGACAAAGCCTTTTTAATATAGTTTTTTGCCCAGATTTTCACAGTACAGAATATAAAAGGGAACTTTAAAATTTATTTTCATTAGTTTGTTTCTTGGATTAAAAGGTCCGTTCCAAAATAATCAAGAAATGATAAAATACAATGTTCAAATGTTTAGACCTGTGAGTTTACTACTGCAGAAAACTTGGAGATTAAAGGAAAATTAACTCATATGGAAGCATTTTATTTCATTACTCAACCTCAAAATTGTGTAGTGGAGGTATCAGAGAAGTTACAAAAACATGTTATTCCAGAAAGTCCTAGACATTTAAAAGCTCTAGTGGTGGTGGCTTAAGAGGAATCTTTCCCATCGTAAACTTCTTTGCTTCGAATTGTTTCAACTCTTCAGCTGATAATTCGCTCTGTGGAGTAAATAACTTTTCTGATGTAGTATTGTTTGTGACTGCAGAAGACACTGATGTTATGTTATGTCCAGAAGCACCAGCAGTCTGTCCAAATAAAGTACTGCTTGAATGTGAGGGAGAAGCTGCTACTGCTGCATTAAAAGCTCCAAAGGCTGTAAGCGGAGTGGTGCTTGAAGAGTTCACAGCAGAGGAATTGCCAAACCCTGAAAATGCAGAAGCTCCAAACCCACTAGTTGTTTCAGAAGTTTTAAACGAGAAGGAGGCTGCAGATGGAGCCGCTAGGCTGCCAAAACCAACAGGATGGGATACGCTAGCAGGGGTCGTCACACCAAATACAGGAGGATTACAACCAGCAGAAGAGCTCCCAAAAGCAGGGGTGTTTCCAGATGATGCACTGATGAGACTGGAACTTGTTTTAAAAGAGAAACTGCTAGCACTGTTACTGCTGCTGCTCACAGGAAAGCCTGCAATTATAAAGTTTATAAAAACTGTTAGAATGTGCACATCTGTGATACTAAACTACTGCTGTACTTCAATAATGCAAAAGAAGAAAAACTCAAGAAAATGTTTAACTGTTGGTTCTTAATACAGGAACTTACTTGACAACCCAAAGCTTGATGGTTGCTGTCCTCCAAACCCAAAGGCAGGCAATGGTTGAGTGACCGTGTTCTTTAGTTCAGACAGCTTAAAAAATTCCAAATAACATAAATGAAAACTAGATTCCAAAACAGAGAAATGTCTTTCAATAAATACTTGAAGCAAAAAAATATAGCTGCCCAGTCCCATTTAATACAACCTAGACTATGGTAGACACTAATCACTCTCATCACAATTGCACGCTCTTGCAGCTATGAACCAAATGCTTTAAGGCTATACACTATTCTCTGTAAAACACAGCAGCAACACAAATCTATTATAACTTACAGATTTTTACCTGTCAGTCAATGACCTGAACACCTATTCCAGCCCTCGTTCTCATCTCTTACCTATTTCAATTAGTGCTTTATGCCCCCATCTATGTCATTGCTTTGATTTAGTCTGTTCTCTCACCTTGGCACATCTAGTCTTCTGTGCTAAAGCCCAAATCCCCCTTCCTCACCCTCAGCATTGAACATACCAAGGAGTATGATCATATTACTAAACCTTTAATGCAGTTCATGCAGACTCCACTTCAACAAATTGTCTCTCTGATTATTTAATATTGTCCTTAACTCAAGCATTCTTTTCTGACACTAGATTCACAAGTGTTTGTCAGCTTCCCAGGAACAACTACTCTTTATATCTTCAAATTTTATCCAAACAGTTCCACTTATCTATCAATTTCTCATTCTGGCATTACCAAAATGCTCTATTTATCCTAAGATGGCCTAGAGGACAACTCTGGTCTCATTTGCTGATTGTACCTTGGAAGAGTTAACATCAGCACATGGTAGAAAAGGTGGGGTGGATATTTGGCTCTTACTATACATGTACTTGACCAGATCTTAACCTTAAGCTATGGTTACTTTCATGCAGTTTGCAATGATAGTATTCCGAAACTGTGATCCAGCTGCTGCCTTGCTAACATGGAACCATCCTGATTCACTACTTTCCTTAGTTAACTAAAGGGTTTTAAAGTACCTGCCTGCAGTTCACTGATTTCATGATTCCAGAGAAAACTGGATCTAAGACCCAAAACTGCGTTCAGAGACTTTCACGTTCACTTGACTCAGGCAGTGCTAGAATATTCAGTCACATTTCTATTGCCTATAAAAAGCACACAAACAGAGAGGTGGAGCAGTTTTCAAACTGCAATCGTTATTCTCTCACATAATTCCCCCTTACACCCTTTCCACCTTCTCTAATGTTCCCAGGAGTATTCTAAGATTCAAGGTCAAGGTCATCATGCCACCAGTCAGCCACTTTCATGACAGATGTTTTTCAAGGCTGCAGTGCCAGAATATAACACATCATAGTTGAGATTTTCAGAACAGTTTGTAGATCTACCATAGAATTTTCAACGAACCTAGGAACCAAACATTTTCATGTCTTAACTATTTAGGTGCAAACAAGGATGCCCTAAAAGAATCATGTGTATTTGTAAAGTACACTGTCCCGCGATCTTCAAAGCAATGCCTATCACCTATTTATATAAAGTTAGTAGGACTGCAGCTAAATATTTTGATAAGAGCTGAAGTTTCTACAGAACATTTGCAAGATCTCTTCATTAAAAACAAGGTGGCATATTACAACTACCACGTCTTAGAAATCTTTGAGCAGAAATTAACGTTTTCAGGACAGTTTGGTGGGATGTGTCTTAAAAACCATGAATCTAAGAAAAACATTTGCCCAAGATTAATAAAAAAAAATTACATGAGTAAAAGAAACATTTTACCTTTCATTAGCACTTACCAAAGCTGCTTTTGTTGATGCATTTAAAGCTTTCAACTGAAGCAGCCGATTTTTCCACTGTTTTGCTAACTGTTGGACAGAATTTATCTACAAAGGAGGAAAAGAAAAGCATGTTTTTATTATTGGTGAAGACTTTAAAAAAAAAGAAAATAAAGTGATCTGACAGCTAAATTGAAAGAAGAATTCTAAAATTAGAAAAGAAACCTCATTAAGCCAAGTAGACAAGATTTTTGCTTTCCAGAAACTTCAAAGAAGCTGAAATTTTTGTTATTAACACAGAATTCCTTTCAATTCTCTTACTACTGCCCTTAAATAAATAAATAAAAAAAATATTTCCCTTAACAACAAGATTAAAAAAAACCCAACTCCTGGGGCTTTCTAAATCTAAGTTCTATCACTATCTGAATTGGATACTTGGGTAAAAAAACCTTCAAACCAACCAAAACCAAACCCCACACAAAATATGCAAGTTTTTGGTACAAGAGAACAAACTCTTGCTTTAAAAAAATCCTTGGTTTATTTCTGGTTTGTCCACTTATGTGCTCTTACTAAGCTGAGTCCTAAGATTTGCCTTAGCCCCTCCCACATTTTTTCTGAAAAAAATGCCCACTTTCAACACATTATAATTCAGAACATTTTAATAGTACCATCCTAAAATATTTAGCTTTGCAGAAATTAACTTCCTTAATTTAAATCAGTCCCTTTAATATGATCCAACAGATTACTGGACAGAACATACACAGAAATAAACAGTACCTGAGTCTTATCTGATAACTGTGATTAAACAAAGAACTGGAAAGTCATTAAAGAACTTACTTTTCACGAATTTCAAGCCTGAATTTCCTATATTAAAGTTTATCAACACACCTTATTCGAAGCCTGGACTAATTGCATTTTCCTTAAAAACTGACCAAGTAAAATATACAATGTCCCAACTGCCTTCAAGAGTGAAATAAGTAATCTTTTTGTAAATAAATTCCTTAATTTTTCAAAAGGGTCTTACATCACAAACATCAATAATTCTTTTGTGTCTAGTCACATGCTGGAAGATCATGTTGCTTAGTATCAGCTCTTATACAACAGACTGGAAAATTCAGATTTTGACCCAGTTTAAGAATAGAAACACATGCTTTGGAAAAGACACATTGTACTTAAACATTTTGTGAGGGAACTGTATCATACAGCTATCACCTATATACTGAGGCTTTCATGAACTTGTATTCAGTGCTTCAGTGACGCCACAAATGTTTTTAATTTTAATAGCCAGGCATAGTGTATTGTTTAATCATTTCAGTTTATTTTTTAATTGATTTTTTAAAACAAACCAAAACAGAACCCCTCTCCTGTCTCTGAAAAGGCAATTCTGTTAATTCTAAACATGTGAAGCAAGAGTGGTGACAACAGCAATTCCTTCTGTAATAAAGAATCAAGGGGAAGAGGAAGGAGCGCAAAGTACCTTGATTTAGTTCGTACTTGTGTCTATCCAATAGCCTAATTCCTTTCCTGGCACAACATTGCACAACTGTGCTAGCTTACTTGATATTGAAAGGACTATAAGTGAGGAACCATACATACAAATGTAGCGATATATATAAAAAGACATATATACAACTTCTTTTCTAGAAATGTATATGCTTCTTTAGAAGTATCTGCTATTTTCAGCATTAATCCCCTGCAATAAAGGTATGTAAAAGAACGAAGTCAAATAAACTTCCCCAGTATTCTACCTAAAGCGCTAAATATCCAGATATAACAATCCAACTGACTAATAGCATACAAAGTTTTAAACTTTTGAGACAAGATTCAAATAACGTCTACAAACAACACACAAGAACAGGGACGAAACTAAGAGGAGTGTCTAGGTTTAGGAAGACCAGGCATTTAACTGAGTCTAGCTAAAAGTCTGTTGACACTGCTTTTTGTAGGAGCTGATGTGTCTAGACATTTAGGCCACCAGTCTTAGAAGCCCAGATGCAACAGTTTTAGCCTGTGATCTCAGACAGAAATAGGAAGTTACGGTAGAGCATACAGACTAGCAGTTATTTTTGCATTCTATTTGGTGCACAGTAATTTAAAAATATTTTGGCATTCTGATAACCTCCTACAGTTTGGTAATTAAATGAGACAATACTTGCCACCTGAAGAATAGTAACCAGTCCTATCTCAAAATGTGTTCACATGAAGAGTCAGCATTTTTAAAATACTTACATAGTTCTGAATGTCATTGTTTGCTCTGCAGTTATAATACTCCAGATGCATCTCTTCTGGTGAGAAATCTGGAAAGCCTGTAGGGAGAGGAATAATCAAAAACCGCCAAGAAAACATATTAATACTTCCAATTTCCCTCTACAGTTACGAAGAAATGGGCCACGGTACATTATCTGTAAGTCAGTTACAGCTGGAGACACAAAACCAATTCATTACAGAACTTCAAAGATGTGAATGTCCAAAACGGATTTGCCATAATCCAACATTCCTTCCTGTTGCATCACAAAGCAAATCATCACCTTGCAAATGGTTCCCCAGAGGTACAACAGTGTGGACAAGTGTAAGAAACATCCTAAATAGCAGCAATATGCAGGAACACTAAAAACATTACGTACCCGAGACATTTGGCTTTTCTTTCATTGGTGAATAAGATGAAAATATCCATTGTCCTGAAGATTCCCAGATCTCCATGTCTTTCACTACACATTCGCTAGAAAACAAAACAAAATTAAAACCACAGATGAAGGTGAAATTATATGGTCAAAACAAAACCACTAGAAGCAACTGCATAGTTCAAACTACAAGTCAGATTCAAATACCTGCTACCATGAAAATTAATGAAGTGTGACACTAGTCAGAATGAACAAGAGAAGTACTCGGTTCTCTGGAAAAAATGCATTTATTCAGCAAGATACATAAATGTCCATTCAAACTCTTTTACCTTATCAATTGCAAGTAAATCAAACCAGATCTTAAAAAAAAAAAAAAAAATATCCCAAAACACACAAAGTATTTTTTAATCCTTGTATGGCATACGCTGCCACAGGATTTTCCCTGAAACTGTAGATTGCAATACAGTTTAAAACCTTCTCAATACTAGATGATTTTACAATATAAATGAACATCAAAAACATAAAAATCCAGACATTGTAAAAGCAGAGAAACAGAAACTACATCAACGAAAGTAAATACAAATGTAAACAAACAGTGAAAGGGTAAAAACTAACCTGGACAAGCAGATCACTACAGAGTAACAAACAAAACTTCTAAGTATTTCAGAGGTTTGTAACACAATGTACATTCATGTTTGAGAAGCTTAATAAATAATCTGTTATTAATGTAATCTTAAGAAAAGTAATGGAAAATGGTTCCAAAACCCTTGCTGCTTCAGGAAATCACACTGCCTGTTGCTTCTCATCACCAGCCCTGCAATCACCTTGAACCTGCTGGTCACTCTCAACTGACTCTAACATAAAGACATGTGAATTCAGGTTTCAATAACAATTTATCTTTAGCGTCGTGAAAACTACATCAAATACTTAATTTTCTCAAAGAGTTTTTTTTTTTTTTTTAATGGTTGAAATGCTGTTCAAGGGGCTCTGACCCCTTATTTTCAAGTACTGAAATCTTTGTTTCCTTCCTCATCCTTCTGCCCACAACTTAAATATTGTACCATCTTACCACAGATGTCTAGCTGCCCAACCCAAATTCAAAACAAGGATCACTTTCTCTTGCCAGCACAACTCAAGAGAACTCAATGAAGTAGTGTTTTCTATGGTTCTTACTACATGTCCCAGCTTCCTCCTAATGATCACGTCCTCTGCATTATCTCTAGTAAGTCAGTAAGCTTTTAAACTGCTCCTTCTAAATGCTTTCAGTAAGACAGGAATATAACTTACAGAAGTCTCTCCTCTTCATCTTTATAGCCATCAGCAATATTTTGATTGTTTGTTAATGCAGAGAATCTGTTCTGCGAAAAGTCTGCATTTCTGCTGCTGCTGCTGCCGCCGCCTGATGATCCAAAATCAGAGGAGCCGAAAAATCCTCTTCCATGATCTCTGCTGCCACCCCATGTATTAGACTTAAAAGTAGATGGCTGGATTACATTAGTGTATCTCTGGTTTGTGGTACCCCATCCTCCTCCTCCTCCTCTGTTAGTACCTTCCAATGGAAAAAAAAAACCCACAACCAAACAACAAAAGTCTTAAATCATTAAGATATTAAACTATACAACATCAACAAAACCCCTAAGTATAACTCTTCTTATGGTGGCCATAAGAAATTTGAAAAGAAAAAATGTAGTTTTTTCCTAATGAGTTAATCTGATTATTTAGTGACCTTAATTAGCCTAGCGAGTTACTCAGGGCAGTTCCGGAACAACTCATTGGCACTGCAGAGAAGAGACTGTTTCAGTTTTACTTACGTTGTTTCATAAAGTAACTACCCCAGCAGAAAAAAAAAATAACAATAATGAAAAAATTAACTCATTTACATTAGGGGCTCCTGCCTACATCGCTGTAGCAGCGGCTCTGTTCTGCAGGAAAGACCTCCTAAGGTAAGTTTTA